CCCCCCCCCAACCCACCAAAATGCCTTTATATAGCATGGAAACTAGAGCAAACTAGGTTGATCCAGGGTTGAAAGATAAGCGAACAGTATGGTTAGGCTTCACACATTCTAGCAGAGAAATCAGTTAATATCCCAAGGATATGCCTTGAATCCATCAGAAGATGTCCACACTGACTTAAACTTCATCTGTCTGGGAGCTATTATAAGATGGTGCACACTTACCCACATCACTTGTCGTAACATCGGAACTTGGAAAAGAAGAAAATATATTTCAACATGCTTCAGACAATGATAAAATAGATTTTTCTAGTAATAACATTCAGAAAACTTGAATGGACAATGTGAAAGTTGATGGACTGACAAGCTCAATTAGGATGATTTAAAAATATGCTCGAGCTTCAACTGCCAGTACTGTAAAAATTCTTGAAAGTCAATCAATACAGGTTTCTAAATTCGACACTTGATCGGCTGCCGAGTAAATTTATACTCGTTTGCATAAATGAAACAGAGATGTAATGATGGAATTTGATGTTGATCAACAGTTGACTAGAATACTTACAACATAGCCATCGGGAGTCCAACTGATGATATCCCATTTAATTGTGATATTTCCATTAGGATCAAGCGGGTCATAGGCTACTGTAGAAAAAGACCAAAAAAGGAAGACCGCAATCAAATCATATGTTTGAATTAACGAAAAATTTATTAAATCTATTTCCTCCATGGATTATAAACTGATAGTGATGGAGTGGACAACAAACACGATTTCAATTTGTTTTTTGTCTATAATAATATTGATTGATGTCCAGTGTAGCCTTCCAAATTGGTAGACAGTAGTCAGCAACACTATACCAGACGACTGATAAGAATTTAACCTTTTTTTTCTGTCGATGATGTCCAGTACTATCAAGTTTAGCATAAAGTCACCATAAATATACCTTCTAAGTTCTAACTACGACCAACCCCAAACATAAAGAAAAGTATAGGTAGCATTTACAACGGATTAAATCTGGAGACCAATGACAAAGTAAAACTTATGTAGCTCATACAGATTCATTTTTTTCAATGAGATTCTCGGATATGAAATAAGAACAATCAAGAATTAATTTTGTTAACTTTTTTCTCAAAAGGAAAATAAGCTACTTCAATTTTCTTTAGCAAAAAGCAGATTATACTCAAGCTGCTTAGCGTAGATAAGTTCAATCAAACCCATCCCACACAACACCTATGAATTGATTAGAAGTTCAAATTGTAATGCGAGTCAAACATGCATTTAGATTACTAAAATAAAACCAGTAAAAGTATGCATCAAATCTCCCAAAGATCTGAACTTGTTGATAATTAGATTAAGCCCATTTCCTCTAAAATTGATTAAATCTCGACAATTAATTAAAACCCTCAAAACAATTAAATTGGTTGGCAAGAAAAGTATCCAAAATCAAGAAAATTCATAAGGAAAAAAGTATATACACACACCTGATGTATTGAAGCTGAAGCAAGAAAGCAAGAAAAACAGCAAAATGATGGGAGTTGGAATTTGGCTTAAAGATCTGAAACAGAGCTCCATTTCGTCAATTTGCAGATTTACCCACTTCTCTCTAGATCTGCAGCTCAAATGTAGGGAGAGAAAGCGGTGGCAAGCCTTTTTATGAAGGCCTAACTGGACTTTCAAATGGTCTTTAACGAGTAACGTAACTGCCCTCACTGTAAGATTCTTGAGACTTGAATAATGTATTATTTTTTCCGGGCCCGCGATTAAAATAATTCTGAGCCTCACTCTTTATACGTGCGAGGCTGTCAAAATTGATGTATATAATGCTGTACACGTAACATCACCTTCTTGTTTTGAACAAATTACTCAGTTTTGAGGGTAATTAGCACTGAATATTATGAGATGAAAGTGACAGTCCAGCTAACACTACGTAAAAACAGAGAGAAAAACACACTCCCGTGACGCGTTTTTGTTGTAAGTTGAAATATTCTTTTTCTTAAGACAATTTTGTGTAAAATTATTTTTAAAATCGATTTGTTAAGAAATAGTGTTCATTGTATTTATATATTTGAAAGACGTATCTCAAAATCGACCTCCCAACTGAAGGATTTTGTGTAAATAAATAATCTTCTATTAAATATAGTTTTCGATCAAAATAAATAAATACAAACCGTTGCCGACAATAGGTAGAAAAAGACAGAATGGCTTGATTAATTGATTTTCTTTTCGGAAAATTACTCCAATGGTCCTTGACCTATTAGTCTAGTAGTAAATTAGTATCTATCTTTTGAAATATAGAAAGTTAATCCTCAATTTATTATCATTGTTGCATAATCAATCTCTATGGCTGGGTACTGACCAGGTTAGGCCATCAAAATAAGAAGAGCCTTCCGAATAAAATCAACACAAAGATGTCTTTTTATTTTTTTTCCTATTTCTTTTTTTCATTTATAGGCTCATTCGAGCCTAAACATGTGTTGAATGATTAAGTTTTTCTTGTCTACTTCATTTAGGGCCTGTTTAGTAGGCTTCATTTTCCATGAAAAATGGAACTATTTTCCACCCAACTCCTCACGAAATCCCTTTTTCCAGGTTTTTAAGATATTGGGTTTCCTTTGATTTTGGTGGGAATTTGGTTTTTCGGGTATTTTTTATTTTTTACAATGGAAACAAATTTTATCCATAATTGTAACTAATTCTATCATTTTAATTGACAATTTATAGAAAATAAAGTCAAACGAATATCAAAAGATCCCAAACTTGAAAAAATATATCAATCAAACATATTTAATTAACAATTTTCAGTAAAACAAGTTCTAAACAATTCAATTATCTGAAATTCGTTTTCTTTCCACCAATATTTCATTCTTGCAATCAAATGGACCCTTAATAAAATAGTTTTACTTCACAACTTGGATTTTTATTTAGAAATTTTAACCATGACGTACTTTTATGAGAATCACATGTTCTATTTCTTAAAATTTATTTTTTATAAAATTCATTTTCAACCACATATTTTATAGGATGCACAACTTTTATTAACCTTTTAACCAAACATTTTATAAAATTTCCTAAAATTTACTCAAAATCAGATTTTATGTTAAACCAAACAAGGGACTAAAATTTCACTTGGTTTGACTCCGAACTACTTGCAATAGTACCAATTGAGCACCTGCTCACGCCTTTTATTGAGGCTTCATCTTTGCCAATAGGCAGGATCTGATCCTTTAGGTAGGCTATGATTGATTGCATTCATGTGGGGGTTCCTTCGACCCACATCACATGGAGATCTGTACTATTTCTGTCATTAAAAACATTTAAGTGCAACTATAATGTAACATTGGGTTCCAACTTGCTCCTTTCGAGAGCTAAAAACCAACTTTCTATTGAGGGAATAGATTAGTGCAAAAACTTTCTTTTCTTTTTAATTTTATTTAGCCCCCTTTCTGTCTCCCTTCTTAAAGAGTTCTCGTGGAAAAACAAGTTTTGAAATAACGATTTCATTTTTTCAGAAGAATATGATTAAAAAGTAGAAAAAAATGGGATTTACATGTGTAAAATATTTTATTGTGTAAAATATGTGGTTGAAAATAAATTTATGAGAAGAAAAAATAATAATTGTTAAAGAATCGTTGGTTCTGTCGGTGCAAAGAATTTCCACACATGGGACAAAATAGCAATCGTTTTGGTGTGGGAGTGGGACCCACTATTTGTTAGGGTCTCTTTTTTTTTTTTTTTTTTTTAAATTTTTTTTAAGGATGTTGAAATTCCAAGTTTAGGAACACCCTGCTTTCTTAGTAGTATATTTCATTTGAAACATATGGAGGAAAAGAAACTAAACAATAACATCGCAGACATTATATCAACCAACCTTAATATGGCATCCACATAACATGGTCGAAAATGAGAAAGAAGAACTACAAAATTTAAAGAATGTACGATAAAAAAAGCTTCGATTTCATCCCAAGATTCAAAAGCCTGGATTGGAATGAACCAATGACAAATGCAATTCGTCTGGAATCAATGGTTGATCAAGTAAAAAATCTCAGTGAAGCGTCAATCCTTGCACTGCTTGTGTGGCATCTTCAGTAAAAAAACCCACACACACACACACATTCGCACAGATACAGATTTAATACAATATTAACAATTATTACCTTTTAATAATTGTTAATTAATTTTTGGCTCTGTCGGTGGAGTGGAATTCCATATATGGGACAAAATAGCATTCGTTTAGTGTGGGACCCACTATTGCTTTGGGTCTTCCTCTTCTTCTTCTTCTTCTTTTTTTTTTTTTTTTTTTTTTAATTTTTT